ACAAGTACATTATTATTTATGGGCTTAAAAACAAGATGCAAACAATCAGAATATTGTACCTGGTGGGGAGTGCACAATGTAAACATGAAACCTATGCCATTACCTATATTGTACTGTGGTACAGTTATGGAGGCCCTTCATAATGCAGAGGTCAACTGCCTGCTCTACCAATAGTTAGAAATGGCACTATAGTAAGCAGTGTTTAATAAACAGCTGTTTTTCTCAATTCTGCTGAGGTGAAATTCAGTGCAGTCCCGTACAGTGATATGTATCGTATCGTGGCCTCTGTATCGTGATACGTATCGTATCGTGACTTTGCTGGTGATACACAGCCCTATTATTCACCTCAAACTGATCAAAAGTGACAGTAAAGACATTAAGTTTATAGGGCAAAAGACTTCCATTTCAAATAAATGCTGTATTTTTAACTTTCTATTTATTAAATAATTTTGAAAAAAAGACTTCCACAAAAATTATAAAGCAGCACAATAATTTTAAAATTGTTAAGATGTTTCTTGAGCAACAAAGCATTATATTAAAATGATTTCTAAAGGATCATGTGCCACTGAAGACCAGAGTAATGATGCTGAAAATTCAGCTCTGCCATCACAGGAATAAATTAGATTTTAAAATAGAATAAAATACAAAACCATTTTAAATTAGAATATTATTTCACAATCTTACAGTTTCATCATCTTTCTTCTGATAAGAAAGTTATCAGCCTAACAAGATAAATACTAGAGCAAAATCACAATATTAAATGTATCTACTACTTTTAATCTGCAATCAAATTGTATCGTTTTCCTCTATTCAAAATTCTCCCTCATCTAGTTCTTTGTGTCTCCTACCAGATCTTTGTTTTTCCAAAAGAATAAAGACATAAAATGCCCGTGCAACATGGAGAAAATCTTACATTCCAGAACAGACTCCAAAATATGAGCAATAGTAATAGCAATGCCTCACACACAAAAAACTGAGAAAATGTTTTTACAGAAAATGCTGCATTTGAGGAGGAGGTGACATTGGCAGTTGACGTAAGTAAGGAAGCACTTTTTTTTTCAGCTCCGTTTTCCGTTTTAACTCTCCCTGCAAAACAGGCAAAGCATTTCATCACTGCAGGTGAAGGTCTGCGGCCTGATGACATCCAATGGAAGTTCTGAAAACATCATGCATCCGCAACAGCTGAGCTGATAAACCTTTTAACCTTAACATTGTTCTACAAACACGGGAAACAAACTAAATCCTCAAGTTTCTCAGATTACAGACATTCCTTGGAGTAACCGGCTTGTTTAGAATCAGTCATCTATGTGAGACTGGATCAAATGGATAATCTAATTGAGCTAAAAGCCTAAAGATGCATGGTCGCAATATGAACACACTGGGGATTCAGAATGCATGGAGAATTATGGGAGCCTGTGCACTTTCTGTCAGTCTGCAATTACTGTAAATCCTTTCACAAGACTGTTTCAGCCTCTTGAGCACGCACTCGGCTCTCCTCCTCGCATCAAGAGTGTACTGCATGTTAAGAATGTGATGGAGGCAAGATGGGTTGTCAGAAAGCTGAAGGTGTACATGTGATTCGGATTCATGAAATGGCAAAAATAGCTTTTGCTTCTCGAGTGCTGACATGCATGAATAAAGAGACAGCAATATTAAAGTCACAAGGCCAAGACATGCCTGGGGTTTAGCGGTGTGGAGGATAAGAGAGAACTAGGTCTACCTCACAAATGGAAATAATGGTGTGAATGATGACATTTTACAATACCACAACTTAATATTAAAGTATCAAAGTATTAAAAGTATATGAGCCAAATGTGCCCAGAATGAAGAGCGCAAGAAAGGGGAAGCATTTCAGGTAATTTTGGGGTGACCAGCGTAAAGGTGCAGTTACGCTAGACTCTGAGCATGAGAAATTATGAATATGAATGAGTGAGGGAGAGAGACAGAGAAAGACAGAGAGAGAAAGATCTTGCATTTATTTATTAAATAAATAAATTTTTAATTCTATATTGGAAATGGGCATATGACATCCTATTGCATAATTATATGCAAATAAATGCATGAAAATATAATATGAACTCAATAAAATATATAAAAAATACACTACGTTATCATGAATGAAAGTTTAGTGTGACCCCACGGGTAACAGCAAGGTTGTTATTGTTAACTAATACTAAAAAAATACTAACACCAAAACACTTTTATTTACTTGAAATAAACATTAGTTGAAATATAATAAAATATTTAAAAAACTTATTTTAAACTTATTAAAAGCTTATTTTATTTCAGCAAGTTGCAACATCAAATTTTTGCACAGTTTAACTTCAAATTAGGGCTGGGCGATATGGACAAAAAATAATCACAATCATTTTTTTTCATATCAGTCGATATCGATAATTATCACGATAAATGTCAAATTTTATTTCTTTCAAGTTTAAAGGGGTAATATGATTTGGCTAAAAATAACATTATTTGGTGTATTTGGTGTAGTGAAATGTGTTTATGTGGTTTAAGGTTCAAAAAACACATTATTTTCCACATACTGTACATTATTGTTTCTCCTCTACTTTGCAACTTTACAGATCTTCTTTATGCACCAAGAGCTTGCAACACTTCAAAGAGAAAGGAAAAATTGAAATCGCATCATATGACCCCTTTAAAGGCAGATTTTTGCACCAATGTGAAAGTTGCAAAAACCAGACGGTTAATTGTGGTTTTAAACTATTCTTTTAAACTATTCTTTATGGTCAGAACATTGAACATTCATTTTTCCTTAAAGGGGTCATATGATGCTTTTTTAAAGATCATTATTTTGTGTATTTGGTGTAACAGAATATGTTGACATGCT